ATCGAATAATTATATGATGAACTTCTAAACCAAGGGGATAACTAGTTTTTGGATATATAAGATAATAAAACCAATCCATTGTTGCGCATAAATATTATATATTTATAATATTCATAATATATATTATATTTTATATTAATAAAGTAAATATTTTCTTGCTTAATTAGTAGGGGGACTGAGGCTAAATGTTAAATTTTGCACAAATTTTTTTATAATTATATATTTTATAATTTAGCACTAGATACGCGCTTTAAAGCGCACGTGCATATCGTGCTTCAGTTCTTCATAGAATACAATTAATCATAAAATAAAACATTACAATGTTCTTAAAATTGTGAATTTGTTTTAAAATCGTGTTAAAAAACTATGAAATTCCAGAAATTTTTAATCATAGGTATTTTTGAAAGTAATTGAATTATTGGTAAGATATTTATTAAAAATTTGTAAAATTATTCATTATAAGAAATAATTTTATAATAGTTATTCAAGAAATATGTTTTTTAAAATAAATTATTTTCAGAAACGGAAAAAATTGAAGGTTTTCTATTAGAATTCGTGGTAATTTTATGGTTTATTATAATGCAAACAAACATGTCAGCAAAATTCATTTATTCATAATTTTTTCTAGTATACTTTTAATAAAAATCAATGACAATTTATTACAATATTTTTATTATATTTTTATAGACTTGATATTAGAATATTTCTTTTCATGTATTTTCTTCTTCTTTCCAATACGAATAGAGATTAGAATGTCTTCCTTTATCTAATTTTCATATCTCATCTTTTCATACAAGGATCAATATTTTTTAATAATATAAAACTAATTTTATTAAATATATGATATCTTCCCGTAAATCTTAGATTAAAAACGAATTAGGCTAGGGTTTTATATATTCGAATTGTTTACTTTTGCATTTATTACTATAGCTTATTTCAGGCTCTTAATAATGTAAAATATAATGTAATTTTAGTGTAAAATAATGAATTTTTTAAAATACTTTTTTAATTTTTTTGTCTCTGATTTCATTTGAAAGTTAACAAAGTAATTCCGTATGCTATTACTAATAGCCACTTTGTATTTTTATCAGGACAAAAATGTAAAATATACAAATATTCAATAGCAATCAATAAATCACAATTGTAGGTATAGCAGTAAAAGGTTAATTTCTTCCTTTTCTTATAATTAAAAAGATATCTTTTTCAAAATACTAAATATAAGAGAGTCAACAGATATTAGTTTGCAAAAATGACATACATTCATGTCAACCGAATACTTTTTTCCTATTAAGACCCTTCAGGGTGTGTGATTCATGAATCCAATACCCATCGGGGACCCTTCAGGGAGCATTGGTCTCAGGTGGCTTCCTTAACGCCGTTTTCAAATATTTTTGTAACAAAGGAGATAATTGACACCGTGAACAACAGATTATAACATTACAAAAAGAACGCCAAATTCGGTTGCTTTAAACTAATCTTTAATGCTTACTAAGTTTACATTTTTGATTGTTAGCGGTAGAGATGGTTTCTTCAGAACAGATCCACGCTTTGCACAGTGCCAAGGTAGATCTCAACTGCACAGGCGCTAATATCCTACGACTGACACGCTTAGAAAGCCCGCTGGAGAGATAAGTCTTAACCCATCCACATCCTCCCGATTTGTTTTCTCAGGTCTTAATTCTGCTCAATGATCAACTTTCTTAATGTCAATCGTTAATTGAATCTAATTAACTATGATTTCGAAGTTATTTTAAGGTGAAATCTGTTGACTCAATTATTTGGTAAAATAGTATAAATTTTAGATTAATTTTTTTTCTTTGTTTATTCATGTTTCTTATTTTTTTGGCAAGTTTAATTTGAGCTTTTCATTTTTTGATAAGTTTTAGGTTTAGCACATTTTTGAAACACTTGTATATTTTACAGTAATGTCTGAGCTACTTATCAAAATTAGTCTCGGACTAACACTCCATTTTTTTAGCAACTATGAAACGAGTTGAGGAAAGGCTTCGGGACCAACCGTCTTTCTTACGGAAAACGTATAAATTTAAGTTTAATTTAATTTTTTTCTTTGCTTATTCATGTTTCTTATTTTTTTGGTAAGTTAATTTGAGCTTTTCTTTTTTTGGCAATATTTAAGTTTAGCACATTTTTGAGATATTTGTATATTCTACAGGAATGTTTACGCTACTTATCAAAATTAGTGTCGGACTAACACTATTTTTTAACAAATACGAAACGAGCTGAAAGGCTTCGGGTCCAACTGTCTTTCTTACGGAAAACGAAAGGCAGAAAAGTCTAACTTTCCACGAGACAAAACCGATTAATTCTCGCGAAAAAATTCCTTCACCGATTGTCATTGATTTTTATTATTTATTATACTTGTACCAGAAAATTACCGTCATTTCTCAATAAACTCTTTAGCGTTCTAAATATTTTATGAATTCTTAAGCCTTACAGTAAATTATTAAGTTTTTTATGCCTTTTGTATTTTCATATATTAAATTACAGGAATCATGTTAGTCAAAAATTCGTCATCAAATTAAAATACATGCTTCGTTCCCTGACTACCAGTTTAACGAATATATTGGGAATGTTCATAAACTTTGTGTGACTGCTCAATTCAAAACCAGTCAAGGATATACCAACGGATGTTCATGAGCTTGCGTCACGGTTCAATTCCAAACCCCTCGTTCTAATCAATTGATTCTTTTTACATCAATCTTATACAAGCTAAAAGTAATCTAATTGTTTAAAAGAATGCTCTTGACTCACTTTTTTCTGATAATATTTTTCAATTACTTTCATGGAAAATACCTATTAATTTAGATGATTATCAGATGAGAAAAATTATTAGAATTAGAGAAAATGAATTTAAATGTCCTTTTTCCCAAATTGGGATTGTTTTATATGAGAAAAATTATTAGAATTAGAGAAAATGAATTTAAATGTCCTTTTTCCCAAATTGGGATTGTTTTATAGCCTACGGGTAGACCTGCTACCAATTTAAAGTCACAATAAAATTTTCAATTTTTCAGGATGTTGTAAACAACATCCTAGCAACAATTTTAGTAATTATCAGATAATAAAAATTATTTGAAAATAATATTATTTATTAATAATTTTTGAAAATAATTATATGTTTGTGCAAAATGTTACTACAATTTGTTTATATAACTAAATCCTTTTGGAATATTTTTTTAAAGTAGTAGATATCAAAAATCTTTTAATTGATCAAAATTTTTTGAAAATAATTGACAATTTTCCAAGAATTTTGTTAAAATTTTGGAAAATAATTTAACTTTGGTGAAGAGTTTTATTATTTGTAAAGATAATAAATAAGATGATGATTAATAGATGATTATCAGATAACAAAAATTATTAGAATTAGAGAAAATAAATTTAAATGTCCTTTTTCCCAAATTTGTATTGTCTGATAGTCTACCTGATAGTCTACGGGTGGACCTGCTATACTACTTAAAAGTCACAATAAAATTTTCTATTTTTCAGGATTTTGTTAGTAACATCCTACCAACAATTTTAGTGATTATCAGATAATAAAAATTATTCCTTTGAAATTTTCTCTATTCTTGAAAATAATCATATGTTTGTGCAAAATGTTATTAGAATTTGTTTATATAGTTAAATGCTTTTGGAATATTTTTTATAGCAGTAGATATCGAAAATCTTTTAATTGAGCAAAATTTTTTGAAAATAATTGACAATTTTCCAAGAATTTTGTTAAAATTTTGGAAAATAATTTAACTTCGGTTTAGAGTTTTATTATTTATAAAGATATATAAAATGACGATTAAGAATCTATTTAAGATTATTAAAAATTGAAATTTTTAAAAATTTAAAAATTGAAACTTTTGAAGATCACTTATTTATGAAAATTGTAATCGCAACTTAAAAAAAACTTAAAATAAAATTAATTTTGAAATATTTAAGTAAAATTATTAATTAAATAATTTATACGTAATAATTTTATTATAGTTTTTGAAGAATTAATTTATTTAAAAAGAAATTATTTTTGTCAAAATAGAAAAAATGGGAAGGTTTTGTATTAGAATTGGGGGGTAATTTTATAGTCATTTTTTTGACAAGTTAATTTGAAATTTTAATTTTTTATGTGTTTTTTTGTTCCACATATTTTTTTAAATAAATATGTATTTTAAATATTTAATTTTACATATTTATTCTTGACTTCATGAAACCAATTTATTAAGTTTCTTTGTCTATGTAATTTTAATTAATTTTTTAAATTAACAATAACATGTCAGGAATATAAGAACGTCATTTGTTTAAATCATATTTTTTTCTTTAAACATTTAAAGTGTAAATAGGGATGATATAATTATTTTTTTATATTACAATATTTAATTTCAAAATATTGGTACTTACCCCAACTAGCCTGCGGTCGCAAGGGATAATACCAGTCGGGTAGCAGTGACAAGCAATGAGCAACTCACTGCTACCTGACTGGTATTATCCCTTGCGATCGTAAACTTGTCCTCTTTATTGTATAGAGGACTTTCATTATTAGCAAAAAAAAAAAAATAAATAAATAAATAAATTAAAAAATAAAAAAAATAAAAAGAAAATATAAAACCATCTATTTTTGATTATATTCAAGGGATAATAAAGGGATTTCAATTTTTTCATTTAGGAATCACAGCGGCAATCATTATAAGTTTATGTTAAAAGTAAAAGTACTATTTCTTTATATATATATTATTTTGATTTGGAAATAAATCTATTATTAATTCATGATAGTGTTTATGTTTTATTTCTCTTTTATATTCAAAGTATAATATTCTCTCAGAAATTTTTCTCAATATTTCACTTTTTCAAAAATGCAAAGTTTTTTTTTAATTTTGTAAATATACCAAGAATGACCTTAAGAACAATTAATAAAAAAAAAATAAATAGAATGTGGATTAGCCGCTGTAATACCTAAGAAATAGAAAAAATAAACATCAACATTAGAGACTCACTGTGAATACCATTCCTGTTCAGCAAAAGATGTTTCAGTCTTCGTTCGTTGTTCGATTCCTTCCTCTTCTTTCTTTTCCTCTTCAGTCACTTTTTTTATTTATTTAATACATATATATCGCAATTCTTATATAAATAATATTACAGTATTTTCAAATCGCAGTACAATAATAATAATAATCGTAAAATATAATATTATAATATAATTATCTAACAATATAGTCTTGAATATCCTCTGCTTTCTTTCCTCTTCTTAAGAAGTATACGATGTTGAAAAAATCACTGCAACATATATTAAAGTATAGTTAGAAACTAAATTAAAAACTAAAAAAAAACTAAAACTTTAAACTAAACTATTAAACTCTGTGTTTAACGGAAAAAAACTTTTTTGAAATTGGGAAAAAAATTTGCAGAATTTTTCTTTCTCAATCGACAATTTTTTAACAATATTCTAAGTTTCCCTTAAATAAACCAAAGAAAAAAAGTTTGCTGAATTTCTCATTTCACAAATATTTATTTATACCAAATTTAAAAACTTGTCGAAAGGAAGAAATAAAAAATAGTTAATTAATAATAAATATTAAAAACACAATATTGAATATTTTCAAAGATATTTTCAATTCAAAATTGTGATTGATAAATTAAAAAAAAAAAATTAAAAAATTTTTTTTTTATAAACTATTTAAAAATAAAAAAAATAATAAATAAATAATAAATAAATAATAAATAAAAAATAATAATAAATAATAATAAATAAATAATAATAAATGATTTTTATGTTGATGTTTATTATTTTATTATTATTATTTTTTTTACTTGTTTTTAAATTTTTTCCTAATTTCAAAAAAGTTTTTTTTTTCAAATTTTCTTTAAAGAATTTAGATATTTTCAAAAATTATAATGAAATTCTAGAAAGACTCGAATTGTTCTCAAAAGACTTATAAAATTCAATAATCAAAATTTTTAATGACTAGGGGAGAGGACCCCAAGATGGACACCTCTTCGATTGATGGCTCGAAAATCCAAACCGAATAAGATATGTTAAAATGTTTTATACTAAATGAAAGTACAATTTATTAGGTAACTTATGGCCACTGAGATAAAATTTTATTTTGAACTTAAACATTTTTTATAGCATTTTTTCTAATTGTTAAATACCTATCTAAAATCAAAAATTTAAATAACTTTATCGACTTGAGAAAAATCGGAAATGAAACTTTTTTTGACAAAAAATTCAGGTGACATGCGCAGTAGAAAAAAAAACTGGTTTTATTTTTCAAATATGCATAAAAATCTTCGTCTATACAAACAACAAAAATAAAAAAATTGAGAAGATGCTGTCATTTTAAACAAAAATTTTATAGGAAATGTCCATCTTGGGGCCCTGTCCATCTTGGGGCCCTCTCCCCTATTATTAATGAATAACGAAGAATTTAATTAATTTTCTACAAATTTTAATAAAATGCAATAATTAAATGTTTAATTACAATTATAATAAACAAATACGAATATTTTAAAAACTTAAAAGAAATTTTTCATAAAATTGAATTACTTTCAAAATTTCCAATTATAATTATTAAATTTATTTTTTTTAATGTTTAATAAAATTTATTTAAAGAATTCAATTATTTTTAAAAATAAAAATAATAAATATAATAATAATAAAAATAAAATTCTTTAGAAGTATAGGTATTCAATTATTTTCAGTATACAATTTTTATAAATATTATATACTTTTCTTTTATAATTTTCAATTAAATTTTAATAACATTCCATGAAATAATTAAATCATTTTTATACATTTTTAATTAAATTTGTTAAAACAATTTATTTTCAAAAATTTCAATTAAATCTTCGAAACAATGTTTAATTAATTTTAAAAATTTTATTAAAATTTGTTGATAAAATTAAATTAAATTATAGAAAATCAATAATATAATGAAAAAAATATATAAAGACAATTAATTAATTAAGAAAATTTATTAATTGAAATATAACTCTGCTAATAATTAAACTTACCGAACTAAAGGACATGAAAGGACTGCGCAGTGAAGCTATGATAAAATCCGTCAGGTAGAAGGAGAAAACAATTTTCAAGAAGGAAGGGGAAAGGGCTCAATTTGAATTTCGAAATTTTATTATCGTGCGAAGAAAAGAAAAGGACAGAATGAAAACAACCTCTATTAACAATACCTAAGGTCGTTATCATTCTTGTATACAATAGACGATTCTTATATATATTGTTGATAGTTTCTGACTTACCTTTTTTACGTTCGTCAGCGCCTTGAAATCAAAATATCGGGGAAGTTTGCAAAATTTTTTCGTATCTTGATGAAAATCGTTTGCCTCCCATTTCTCCCCTAAAAGCACTGCGGTGTGATGAGATTCTGCAAACAAAATTTTAATTAATTCGACAAGAGAAACAATTGTTTTTTACGCCTAATGTTATTTTTTTTTATTCAAAGTTGTTTCTTTATAAGAAAAATTAATTTTAAAAGTATTTTCACAAAAAAAAAGAATTACTAAAACTGATAGCATATTTTCTTTGATATACAAGAACATAATTTTATTAGAGGAAATTTTTATTTTAATCATAAATTGATATTAAAATTTAAATAATAAATAGGGATTATAACAAAAATTATGTGATTTACGTAGAAATAAATTATTTACATTTTAAATTTAATTAAGAAAATTAAAAATATTATCATAAAATAATCTATCAATAATGAAATGAAACAAATACATACAGAAAATTCATTAATTGAAATACATATAACTCTGCTAATAATTAAACTTACCGAACTAAAGGACATGAAAGGACTGCGCAGTGACGCTATGATAAAATCTGTCAGGTAGAAAGAGAAAATATGTTTAGGAAGGAAAAAAAAGAAGGGGAAAGAGCTCAATTTGATTTTCGAAATTTTATTATCGTACGAAGAAAAGAAAAGGACAAAATGAAAACAACCTCTATGAACAAGCCGAAGGTCGTTATCATTCTTGTTTACAATAGCCGATTAAATTTGCTCCCTAATATTGAAATATTCAAAACTTGACTGTAAATTTTGAAATTAATTATTTCCACAATTTTCAGTAATTTTCCACTCATATTTTTTAATAAAAAAAATAAAGAATATAAAATACAGAAGATTAAAAATATAGAATCAAATAAAATTTCTTAAATTATAAAAAATTGGACAAGTGCGAGTACAACTCGCACTTGTCCAATTTTTTTAATTTTTAGTTAAGAAATTAAAGTCAGAAAATAATCTCTCATTTATTCTCTTAAAATTTCATTCTTCCTTAAAATATTTAATGCCACGTGTTTAAACTAAAAAAAATTTAAAAAAAATTTAAAAAAAAATTTTTTTTTTGAAAAAAAAATTTTTTTTTTTTGAAAAAAAAATTAAAAAAAATTTTTTTTGATTTTTTTTCAAAAAGTTTCTTAAATAAATTTTTTGTCGTAAGACTGTAATAATATAGGATACCAATTTTCAGCTCATTAGGTCAAATAATGTAAAAGTTAGGAAAAAAAAATTTTTTTTTTTAAATTTTTTAGTTTTTCCTTGACAACGCTATGGCCATCATTACATATCAAGTTCTCTATATTTTTCCTGTAATATTCGAGTAAAAATACACCAGCATGCAAAATTTCAGCTCTCCATGTCGAATAGTTTAGAAGTTAAGGGGGGGGGGGGAATGGTCACTTTTTATGCATTTTTGGCTAAAAATCTTGTTATTTTCTTGACAACGCTATGCCCATCACGTCCAATCACATTCGCTATATTTTTCCTGTAATCTACGAGTGAAAATACATATCTGGACCAAATTTGAGCTCTTTAGGTCAAATAGTTTGGCCGCTGGGGGGGGGGCACGATTTGGCTACGGACACAAGAGTCTTACCAATAGGGTTTTCTGCCGTTACACCGTAGGTGTACGGAACCCTAAAAACCTGGAAAAGTCAGAGAATTTTGATCTAAATCCTGGAAAATTATTGTTTTCTAAAGTTATTGTGCTTACAAATTCTTTTCTTTATAAATTTCTTCGCAATAATTCAATTATTTTCAAGAATAATCAAATTTTTTACAGAGATTCAATTAATTTCATAAATAATAAAATTCATCGCAGAATTTCAATTATTTCTAATACTTTCAATGGAATTTCTCAAAAAATGTAATTATTCTTAAAAATTTTATTGACATTCGTGAAAGAAATTCAATTATTTTAAAAAGCCTTCCTATAATTTATTTATAGTATTATTATTAATCAGGACATTTTTAATTAAAAATTTCTTGAAAGAATTAAATTATTTTCAAAAATTTTAATGAAATTCTTTTTAACAATAAATTCAATTTCTTTTTCAAAATAATTTTAATAAAATTCTTCGTAGAAATTTAATTAATTTCAATACTTTATCAAAATTCAATTATTTTCAATATCTACTATTTTAATAAACTTTCACAAAAGAATTCAATTGCAGATATTTAAAAATTTGTCTCAAGAATTCAATTACTTTCAAAAATTATATAATTCTTCGCAGAAATTCAATTATAGTCGAAAGTTTAAAAAATTATCTTCAAAATTTGAATTATCTTTATAAATAATAATTTTTTTTTTCAAAATTCAATTATTTTGAAAAATTTGAATAAAATTCTTGGCAAAATTTCAATTATCTTTATAAATAATAAAATTTTTCTCCAAAATTCAATTCTTTTTAAAAATTTTAATAAAATGCTTCTCCAAAATTCAATTATTTTCAAAAGATGCAATAAAGTTATTCGCAGAAATTCAATTATTTTCAAAAATTCTAAAAAAAACTCTGATCAGCATTTCAATTATTTTTATAAATAATAAAATTCTTCTCTAAAATTCAATTATTTTCAAACATTGTAATAAAATTCTTGCAAAATTTATTTATAAAAAACAACATTTTTCTAAAAAATTCAATTCTTTTCAAAAATTTTAATAACATTCTTGGAAAAATTTCAATTATTTTCAAAACTTTCCTCAATTCAATGAAATTTTATTTACAGAGATTTAATTATTTTTAATATCATTTTAATCTAATTTCTCGAAAAATGAAATTATTCTTAAAAATTTGAAATTCGTCAAAAGAATTTTAATGACTTATTTAAAAATTTGTTGATAAAATTCTTTAAATGAGAGTTAATTTTTAAAAAATATTCAATTTTTCAATAAATTATTTATTTTTGTATTTAAATAATTGAATTCTCGTAGAATTCTAAATAAAAAATTTTTTTTTCTAATAAAAATTGATTTAAAAATGAATTTTAGTTAGAATTTTACATAATAATTGAATATTAAAAGTATTATAACATGAATTTTCAAAAATAATTGAATTTTGAAAAGGTTTAAAATTAAAATCATTGAAATTCTTAATTTCTCATATTTTTGACAAACAATTCTGTAGAATTAATTCTTTTTAAAAGTTTAATAAAATTTATATTGAAATTATTTCAAGTTCTTATTTTGCAATATATATATTTAATTGCAGAATTTCCGAACAATTGAAATTTTGTAAAATTGAATTGTAAACGAATAAATTTGAAAATTCTCAAACATCTTTTTTAAAAATTATTAAAAATAATGGATTTATTGAAAAATTTTAGTTAAAAACACTAGAAAAAAAATTAAATTTTGTAGAGAAGTTAGAAAATATTTCAGAAATTGAATTATTTTCAAGAATAATAAAATTCTTTTCAAGGATTCAATTATTTTTACTATAATAATAAAACTCATTGCAGCGTTTCAATTATTTTCCATAGAATTAAAATTGAATTCCTTGAAAAAAGTATTTATGTTCATGCAAGTTTTATTAAAATTCGACAAAAGAATTCAATTATTTAAAAATTTGTTAATAAAATTCTTTATGAGAATTGAATTTTGAGAAACATTCAATTATTCAATAAATTATTTACTTTTACATTTAAATAATTAAATTCTTCTAGATTTTTCTAATAAAAATTGATTATTTTCATTTCCGAAAAATGAATTTCAGTTAAAATTTTAGATTATAATTGAATATTAAAAGCAATATAGCGTGAATTTTTAGAAATAATTGAATTTTGAAATTAATTTTTTTGAAAAAGTTTAATTGAATTTTCTTTTATATTATTTGAAGTTTTAATTGTCTAATATGCATTTAATTAAAGAATTGAGAAATAATTGAAATTTCGTGAAATTGAATATTGTCAACAAATGGATTTGAAAATTGCTACAGAAGTTTTTCGAAAAGTATTAAAAATAATTGATATAAAGTAAAATTGTAGTTAAAAATTTTTGAAGATAATAATTGAATTGAAATAATGAATTTAATAATAATGAAATTTTGAAGAAGTATAATATTCTTATAATATAAAATAATGATTTTATTACTTGGTCATCTTTAATTATTATAAAATATGAAGAAATCGATATCTTCATGTTTTATAGTTATAAAAAAATTTAATGAACTAAAATTTCATTCATTGTAAAAAATAACACCAAAATTGATTATTTTAATCTTTTTTGGTGTTAATTTAATCTACAACACTTTTTAATACCTCACGATTTACTATGTGTATATGAAAGTTTCATGTATTTGTAAAAATTTATTGGAATTATTTAATTTTGTAAAAATGGAAAAGTCAGGGAATTTGAAATGAGCAAAAGCGTATGGCAACTCTGTATCATGTACTCTCTAAATCTGAATTAGCGAAATTCCACTAATTTCCCAGCGATAAGTATATCACTGATTCAATTAGCGTATATACGCTAATTAATCAGTGAAATTTCACTAATTAACAGCGTATTTACGCTAATTGAATCAGTGATATACTTATCGCTGGGAAATTAGTGAAATTTCGCTAATTCAGATTTAGAGAGTATATTGAATGCTTCTTGTCAGTTTTTTTTATAATCTTTGAGTTTGGTATATCACAGTTGGAGTCAAGATTTACACAATAATGTAAATCATCGATTTTTTTTTAAAATCAGGAATTTCATAAAGTAATGAAAGGTATGTTCAGTAAAATTTTGTTATTTCAAAAAATTGATGTATCATAGTTGAACATTTCGCTACTTGCATGATACAAAACACTTTGACTTTACCATTTAAAATAAAAAAGTCGTATACCTTGTACAATTCACGTCATTGTGCGAATCTTATCTATTTGAAAATCCCCAAAGCCAACGACCTTGCGCCAGAGCTTCACTTCCAGCTGACGTATAAAGTTCAGTTTTAGGAGGATAGGTATAAGGCAACTGGGATAAAATACATTTTTACGAGGGATTACGTGCTTTATGATCTTTTCTATCCACTCTCCTCTTCATCTCTTCTTCACAGTCTTCTTCTTCCGTCCTCTTACATTGGAGGAAAGTTTATGATCGCAGACTCCTCCTTTTCCTTCGCTCTAGCTCTCTCGCTTTTGATGTCGCTCTCGGCTTTTCTTTGCCGGTAGCTATCGACTTCTTCTTTTTTTTTTATTCTGTAAATTGCGATATCGTCTATGTAATACGTGTAACTCGTGCAATAAAGTCCAATCTCGTGACGATGAAAGAGTAAAATGGCACATTTTATAAGCTTCGCTTTTTTTTTTATTTTTTTGCCGTTCCTTTTTCTCTGCGTAAAACGACTTTTCATATATCTATTAGAAAATATAAAAAATCGAAAGAAAGTTTAATATTTCAGTATTTGTTTGCCTGAATTTTTGTTATAATTGGATTTGTTCCAAGTATTTTTATCACTTGCGGATATTTCTTTAATCCGCTTTTATTCCTCCAATTTCAAGCAAAACCTAGAAGAGTCAAATCTGACTTTTGAATTAAAAGTGCTATCA